AGTCAAGGCGGAAAAATTTTCAAGAGCTTTACTTTTATGCTTTGTGTTAGAAAATGCTTTAGATAATGTACTGTTTGTGATGCACTTCAGATATGATTGTAGTCGGGTTTTTTTTTCACAATTTTGTGGTTCGCGTGTAGGGTTCAACCTTAAGCGTGCTGTACAAGAGATTTCAAGGGTACAATTGTTAGCAGCAAAAGTGCAAATTTGTAACGCAAACTTAGAAACATTGAATCATTTCAATTCTGTTTTGGCCCGTAATTTTGTACGTCATTACTTTAAAAGTAACTCAATTTCGTCGCCATTAAACAACCGTACTCTTACATTCTCTTTGATTTCATCCATTCCTCAGCGCTTTGGCGCGTCTAATTGACTCTAAAGACGTTTAGATGCAATAAATAGTTAAAAAAGCACGTTTATAGACGAAAAAAAACTTGCCTAAATCTCATTGTGTTTTAGTAGGTGACATTAGTGTTTTGCTAAAGTCCCAGGTTTGATTAACTTAATTTCACAGATTGTTTATAGGGTCGGTTGGAAAGCGGTTACAAGTACAATTAATATTTCATAACTCCAAAATGTAAACAAAGTCCCATTGTTAAATATCAAAGCAATTTGAACTTATGAATAATTGAACGGACTTGATTTAAGGAGCTAGGCAGTTGAGCCAGTCATTGATTGTGAACTGTCCATTCGGCCAAGCACATCTCTCTAAGACACTCATTTGGTAAGTGCCATTATGTCAACGACTGTTCAAATTTGACATCTTTATATAATACATTGTTTTAGTTTTATGTAGATTTTGTTAGGAAAATTTTACAATTTGTTTACGAAGTTTGAGTAAATAGTAGATATATTTTCGTTCGGGGTTTTTATTTGGTTAAGACCGTCAGTAAACTCTGGCTAACGTAAGTCAAATATCTGCAATCTTTAATACAAACAATAGCTTATTTCTATTTATCAATTTACGTTCAATTGGCCATCAATTTATTGACTGTGCGCCCTGTTAAATGAGGTCAGGCAGCAATTTTTTCCATATACAAAATTACTAAGAACAAAAGTGTTTAAAAAGGATCCCTAAACCGCAGTAAAATCCCAACTCAAAACATTAGCATTCAATCACTGCACTATACCTAACATTAGTCGTCTCCAAATGCCAAAATTATTGTTAAAGATTTTTTTTTTAAGTTAAATTTTTTTTATAGCGTTCTGGGTTTGGTTCAGATTCAAAGCCACAAGTCCGCGCTTCGCCGTTTTTTGAATATTTACAAAACGGTGGYGAAAAAAAGAAAAATATTTACACCAGCGGTCGTGGTGATTGGACGTCTATCTAGACACTACAGGTTTTTGTAGATACCCTCATTTTTGAGTTTCCTTACTATAAATATTTCATGACTATGCAACTACTCTTGTCTCTAGTGTTTTTCACAAATATCTTCGCCGCAAAATTGTACACTAAACTTATTTTTCATTTGGTTAGTTAGCTGAAAACTAGATACTAATTTGTGTTTTATAAGAGTCAAAGTGGCTTCATCATTTTTTAATCAAAAAAAGCGTGTCATGTTAACTTTAAAAAATGTGAACTTTTTTCAAAGTGTGTTAGTATATTTCCCTGAATTTGTCCTGTAAACTTGTCAGTTGCGTGAGATTTCATTGACCGAAAACGCCTTGAAAACAGAGAGATATCACGGAACAAAAGATAAGTTCAGTTAAAGGCGGGATTTTCTGTTCATTTTTAAACGCCGTCCCTACCCAGGTCACTTAGTATCTTTAGTTTAATTATCTGTTGCGAAGATTTTTAATTATACGGGGTGAAACGAACAATTGATCTTAATAAATTACCAGAACTGCTACCTGTGAGAAATGAAACTGCACACGTGGTTGATCATTCATTCGAATTGTTCGTTCTAGAATGTTTCATCACATTCTTGAATGTTCGATTTCTTTTGCGAAAAGAAAAGAAAGCTTGAATCATAGGAGAAAAAGCGATTAAACCACACAAAAAGATGATTCGGTTTGTTGTTTTATGCTTAATTCTATCGACAATTTGATTATGGATTGATTACTTGGAAAGAACAAGCTTCAATCAAAAGAAGCTTCGATCAAAAGAAGCATCAATCAATGTGAAGTCTTACAAGAATGAGTCATTTTCCAGCTGGATTGATGCATTGTCTTTTGACTTAAGGATTTCTTAATTTTTTTTGACATATTTTGATGGAGTTTTCTTTTCATTTACCGGCGGGATTACAAAAAACAGTACAGCCACCATATCTGTCGTCGGCTTTTTAAATTTTTCATCGATTTTACCAACAGTTACTCCCACAGTACTTCAACCCCTAGCGTCCATGAACACTATAAAATACCCTACACTTCATAAAACCACCATTAACAACCTTTGTGGAGTGCCAAAAATTAGGATTAGCTACAGATGGTATTACAGGTCACCAAAAACATTCCTCTGTTCGRTGCAGGTTGTCCTTAGTAAACCGTGGGAAGGTTGCAAGCTGATARGAGTTAAGACTCTCGCTAAAATAGTACAAAAGATCACCAAACAGCGATAATTTCCAATATCGCACCCGACGGTGCGTTTAGGTGTCACATGGTCTAGCAGAGTTGAGGCTTTCGTTTTGTACTAAAGCGTCGAACGGGTATCGGCAATCAAGTGATGACAATGAATTATATAACTAATCTATAAGTCTAAATGTATATGTCTATATGTTTCTGTGAAAAGGCCTCCTTCTAACTTACCTGCTCGAGGGCTATAAATAGACCCAGTTTGCGTAGTTACATTGGATTTGGTGCGCCACGAAGAGGAAGTAGAGGTTTGAACAAGAAAACGCCAGATAATTGACTTTTACRAAGTTTCTTTTTGCTCGGTAGTTTGTTTCTAATAGTCATTACGTTAGCATTGTTTTTTTATGAAAAACAGTTGATTGCCTTCATTGTCAGTTGGTGTTAGGTGAGCAAATCTCTTTCGCTTTAGTGAAGCAGAGATTTGATGTGATATTATTGGGTTTCAGCACAACAGCCTATGTTTCGAATTTTGAACAGTAAACACCAAATAATAAGAATGAATACAAATATCATTGTTTTTTATTTTTTCTATATTTCTATTTTTGAGTAAATAACAGAGGACATCAGAGGTATCTTCAGCTGAAAAATGTGAAAATTTGGAAAGTTGAACGTTTAGATCCACTCCTTTGAACTTTGCCCATTTTCTGCGATAAGAGTTGCCCAAAATGTGCTATTATTATTCCTTAACATAAACAAACACTCGACAAAAACTACACCAGATAACGGTGAAAACTAACGCAAATTAAGGGCTTAAATATCCCCTAATCTGGAATTGTGATCTTATACTAGTTGATCGGTTCAATTATCCCGGAAACCAGGGCCATGTTGACGACCAACTTGACCGTGTTAGTTCCAGATAAAACTGTTKTGATTATGATTGGGACTCAATGGTGAAAGTTTCGCAAGACAAAATATGCAGATAGATAGTGTCTGAGGGTGACTAAAGACTGATAGAACTCCTGTAGGTGCAGGATGTCAGAGAATTTTATCAGGTTTTGCTTCAAGGATGGGAAAAAGCTTGTTTTTGCAGTGAAATCGAGTCCTGCGGTTCGCGTCCATTCATGAATGTTATATTTGCACACTTTTGACATTGTTAGAGCAACGTGTTTATATTTTCTTGACGTTTTGTGTAGAATATTATTCGAAAAGGGCTATTTTAATATATACCAATGAAAAGACTTTTAAGACTTTTGAAAAGTGCCAATATTACAGAAAGACATAATATTATTGCAAGGAGAGTAACAGGGGACTTTCCTGAGAAGGGTTTTGGCCKATAAACAAGAGAAACGAGGTAAAAATAGAATGAGAACTTAAGTCATTTTTACTGATCCAAATCGTTTGAGTTTTTTTWTTTATTTATTTATTTTTTYATTTTTGGAATTTTCCACATCGAACTAAAATTATTGATTCTATTTAGTATCCCTTAATACATTCTCTTTTTGTATTTCTCGTTGTTTATTTGCTTGAATATAGAAGTTTAAGCTTACACTCTGTTTTTTTTTCTATTTTCCTTGTCAAAAAATTAATGCAAATATTTTGTAGTTTCAAATACTTCTGATATAAATCGAAAATATTGACGTTTTTTTGACGCATTGATATTTATCGACTTTTTTGATAAGTTTCAATATGATGGAATACAACTATTTGTCTATTTGTACTTGAAAATAAGTTAATAGCTATTTATAGTTAATAATACTCTTCGATCTTGAACTTGAATTGGACCAAATGTCCCCGTTAGGTAGTGGGTGGGTAGTTCCCTCGTATATAAGCCACATGTTTGCTCTTTCAATATCATTCAAAGTTCGCTGATCATCAGCCATTGACAAAGTAAGTCAAGTTCATAATCTTAAGTTTAATTTAAAGTGGGCAAGCTCCATGACGTTGCTTAGTATAATTTGGCATTTCGGAGTCGATTTTTTTATGCAAATTGGGCAACTTATTTGAAAGGATTTTCAGGTCGGTCTGAAAGTTTTGACATATGAAGRCAACAAATCAGTTTTCAAATTGAAAACAAAATAGCTCTTGTATAAAACAAGGTTTTTTCAAGAAGTTAGGCATGTCTTAACATTCGTAAGAAATTTCCTTTAAMATTGGTCAATTTTTTTTTTCAAAGGCGTTCCAGAGTTTACCAATAGAAAACGAATTCCTAAATAATGATAAAAAGAATTTGAAATTGGTCTTGTTATTTTGATGGTAAACAGCGGGAAACCTTTAAATAATATTCTTCCAAAATGACGCAAAGTAAAACTAATTTCCCTTGCCGGATAAGAACGAGAACTGTGCCCAACAAAACATATCCATCTACACACCTGTAACGCACAGCATGGCCCCTTCATAGATTCCTCTAATTTTTGATCAGTTTCAAAAACCTAAATCATTCSTTCCCATTCGACTCACGCTGTTCGACTGTGCTGTTCATTTAGTGAGCGATTGTCGAATCCCTAGGTGCCAAATTGACAATAGTTCTATTTAGCGAGTAGTTCCTACAGGCCAGTCTATTGGTCAGTCTGTTCTGAGCCTCCGAACTCGCAACTTTTTCATGGTTTCCCAACACCTTCATCGTTATATCTTAATTATTAATCAAAAAGTAGATTTAGAAAGGTACTAGAACAACCATTGCTCATAAATAGCCTAAACCGGTGGAGCGTCGAAGTCCAACGGAGCAATCCACATTTGAAAATCTCCTGAAAATGATCAGGTATTTATTGACCAATCAAGAATATTTCCTCACCAATATTTTCTAACAGTTCAAAATCAATTCTTCTTTCACAAATCTGTTGTTATAGTTTAATGCTTGGCTGTTTGCTTGAAAATATCAATTTCCGGAGCGAGCGTTTTACGTTTAAGGCCTGAACAGTTTGGGTATTTTCGGCAAGTATGAGTTGATTCATTAGGTCTGTTTTAGAAGGGCTTCGGTTCAGCTCGGAACTGGAATTATTGTATTATTTTTGACGGCTTCGTTTGTAGTTAGCGCTAATAGTGATCAAAAACAATAGAAGAGGCTCTTCCAATTTATTGAACAATATGGCCAACCTGCCAAAAAGTCGTGCCCTCTCAACACCACTGAATGAGATTTCTCAAACACAATCCAAAAAAAATCCCAGAAATTCAAGTATCGACCCTTGAGCGCCTCAAGAAAACACGACACGTATAGAAAGAGCTTTGGCAGGTTTTTTGTGTGAAGCTTCCCAAAAAAAATCCGCAAAATCTTTCAATTTTCGTAAGTGTACAAACAGCCCGAAGCCAAACACGAAACAAGCGTGTACCTTTGAAATTCTCTTATACTAGACCTTGTTTAGTTTTCATTCACTAGTATTTATAAACATTGTATTATACGGTGCAATGTTTACGAAAAATATTAACATAAGCATGGTTTTTCTCAAAACAACCGAGCGTTCTTGTAGTCCTACTGAACTTAATCAACCGAGYCYATTATTTTCTAAGRCCAAGTCACTCCCTTTGAAATTCCCACTTTGATAAGAAATTACATTCATGTGCTCCGCTATGGTAATTTTCTATGATATCATGTCTTTTTTTCACGAAGAAAGACCTGCTACTAGGACATGTGGCACTTTTTAAGTTAAAGAATCAAATCATCTCAAACACTKCTGGATTGACTCGGTGATTAATCTAAACCAACTGTACTACATCGATATCTTGTGATAGTAGCTGTTGAWCAGTATTACTACTTCACTTGAGCAATTACATCAGGGTTTAATAAATCTAAGCCTCGGATTTAGATAATTTCTAAACGCAGGTCAATTAAAATTTGATCGAATCTAAGTTTACCAATTTAACTGATAACGAGACACTACAAGCTATTTCATGGTGTCACTATTGTTTGGACCGCGAATTTGTAAAAACGAGTAAAGGGATTCAAAGATTAGCACCACGATAGGAGTGTTTATGTTGTGGGATGTTGTGGCCAATATCGCTCGTCAAGTATGATGGCCTATTGTGGGTTTAACATGCTGAGAGCTGTCCCAGTTCTTGGTGCTATCTCAGTGCGATKTTCAAAACTAATCACAATACAACTCAGCCAGTATAGTTATGTCTACGAGTTTGAAGAAAATGTGCAATCGCGGGTATCCAGATATGGACGAGAAAAAAGTCTAAAACCAGTGCTTAAAGTACCTATAACGCATGACACAATGATTGCTGATTCTCTGTGAGCTGACTATCTAAACTAAATAATCGAATTGTAAAATATTCCTTCATCTTTGAGTTATGAAGATTCAAGCTTACAATATTATTGACCGTGACGTCCAGGGAAGGCTTCTTTAGATCTGCAAACTTTAAATAAGTCACTCAAAAATGGTTTCATGACASTAGATTYATCGTAGGCAATGTGGGGAATACCCATGTTCCCAGATGTAYGAAAACATWTTTGAGCGACTGTTTCATAGTTTGTATATCTGATGAATCCTTCTTTGACGAGGTCATTGTCACTAGAATATTGTAAGATTGAACCATCTAACTCAAAGACCCARCACTGAAATGATGGAATATTTCACCATTCAATTATTTACTTCATATGGAATCAGCTCACAGACTAGAATCAGGATTCATTGTGCGGTGCGTCATATGTACTTTAATCTATACCACGTATACATATCGTGTTTTTATGAAAACAAACTTATCAGAATGCGATACTGGTTCGATGTCGTAACAAGATAGTTATTTTCTTAAGGTTTTTAAAGCTTTAGGCTTCCCGTTTTAATCGCTCTTTCATTTTGTTGCCTATGTCCAAATATTGTTCCCTTTGGATAACGACTAACGTATACATTTTATAATGAGTACTTGATGGAATTAGCTGGCTATCAAGATTGATAAAAGACCAGCTCAAAATACACCATCTTATCTCAGCAAGTCGAGTTCTGTCGAGTTGAATAGCGTAATTGAAGAGGGTACAGCTCTCAACTTTGGTTTACGGTGGACTGATTTGTCGATATCGCTTGATTTGTAGTCCAAACATTCTTGTTGATAAAAAATCATACATCCATAGAGGGGCCAGCATCGAATTTTTTAAATAGACTTTTGATACAACTCTTCTCCCTAATCAAAATAACTTTTAATCCTCTTTGGGGAAAACTAAGGGTAGTTAATTAGGGATTTTGTGCCGTTGGCGTTTTAACGTCACTCCTTTAACTTAGCAAAATTTTGGAGCGTTTTGAGTTTGTAGTTTGTATTCGCCTCCCTATGGAGCTTACTGATTAGCTCAGGCAACATTGTCAGTTTGACGATAACCCCGGGGCTAGCCATCAGCGTGTGAGGCGAAAACGACTCATATAGGCGTGAAGGAGARATTGCTTCTGATGTTYGRATTTAGCGTCGGGTAAATTTTGGCTTTAAGTTTATTAATGTGTTGAGCGTATTCGTGATTTCGTATCAGTAATCAAATCCCATGTAGTYTTASTCTTATTGTTCTCTAATAGCCCAACAAAACGTTCCGTATCCAATCAGCCAGATCGTGATAAGAAAATTACTTCTGAAATGTACAAATTATTCTATTTGATCAAATATTCGAATTTGTCAACTCGGTACTTTGATTGAACGTTCGAAATGACAAAATAAAAGTTCAGGAAGCGATCGCAATGTAATTGCTTAGAAAATAAGAACACAATACAATTAGCGTGAGAGGTGTATGATCTGTGAATTGTAAATGAAAAAAATAGATGGCAAATTTGGTGAGAAAGATGAGTCCATAGTGGTGGGAGTAAAGTGCGTTTTAACGTGTACAGAAGTCACGTATACATTTACAACAAAATACAAGTCAAAACAAAACAAAGCTTAAAAGAACTTCATCGCAATGTCTATATAAAACCTATATGTTGACAGGTTCCCCTAGGTATTGTTTCCCAACATAGTGGTCAATTTGTTTGAGAAGGGTCAATATTTACCATTATAAATCCTCTCTAAAATGTACCTTAGAAATCTAAACACATAAATTGAACCAGCCTGTATTTACCTAAATCAAGTTTAATCCTTATTTGAAAAGGCATTTCGACGTGAAWACAAAGTGATTCGACCGCGAGTAGACCTCAGCTTAGACATGTAACAGCCAACGCAAGCGTTAGACGGCTTTAATCAGTGTTTACAAGAAAACAATACATTCTCGAAAATACTGATTGGATAATCCTCATGTGTCGATGATATAAGCCTTAGCATCTCGGTGTGCAAAGAAGACSGTATTGTCWCACGCGCTAGTTAGTTCACAACGACTAACTTTCCCAGTAATTAATCGTAACAGTGGCCTCTCTTTACGAATAATTTCGAACAGCAGGAATGAAAAAACACCAACCTAATCACAAGAATTCTAGGCTCGGCAATTTGTTTGGCAAGAGTGTGTGTTATTGATGAAATTCATTAATGCAAGGGGATTCCTCTTTGAGCAGTTTTTAACTTGGTAATACACTTATGTGACTTGTTTGGATAGGGTAACCACGGTGGCATTTTGCGCGGTTTGGTCGGAAGGGGTTTTTTAAGTTGTAGGGAGAATAGGCTTTTACTCGGATAAAGGGCTCAACGAAGGGGCCAAGCTTTCCACAGCGTGGCAGAGTGTTATCGACAGAAAGCGCCGCAGCAGGGTGCTGTCCATAATAAAAAATAAAATCTACATCTTATAATTAAAGCTAAATAGCCTACTCTTCGACCAGACGACATGCATGTTGCTTTTGTACACCTCTATTCCCTTCATCTGCCTCAACCCGAACATGATTGGCATCACCTTTACACAGGTGTGTATGGTGAGAAAATTGGCATTGCCCTCAACGAGATAACGGAGCTTGATTTTCACGACTAACTTGAGCACACACCAGCACTCGATCCCTACCAAAGTACCTTTACACATGTACAAATATCGGCATCTTAAACCGGCGTAAAAATTGAAAATTGATGACTAAAAATACAATAAAGTTCTAAACGGGTGAAAGACAGCTGTCAGTTCGGGTGCAGACAAGTAAGGGAATCAATTGGCGCTTTTTAAGGCCTCCGCTGATTGGCTAGTTATCGTGATGTCAGGGTATTTATAGCAAGTAGAAGATAATGAATTGGTTGGCCAATCATGTGGCGCATAACCAGACAAACACAAAACAACTCTTAGAATTTCTAATTTAATATTTTGCCGCAGATCTTGTTCCAACACTTCTGGATCACCTCTGTCACAGCCAAGCGCTATGTCCACTGGGGCAATCGAACAAGACACCATGCACAACCACGAGACTGAGATCAAAAAAGATGAAGGTTCTGCGAGCCCAACTGACTGCGTTAAAGCAGAAATGAAGGACCAAACTAAAGACCCAAACGTAAAGCCCCCGTACTCGTACGTAGCTCTCATTGCGATGGCGATCCGTGAATCCGCGGAGAAGAGGCTGACGCTCAGCCAAATATACCAATATATTATGAGAAAGTTTCCATTTTATGAAAAGAATACTAAAGGCTGGCAAAACTCTATTCGACACAACTTATCGTTGAATGAGTGTTTCATCAAGGTCGCCCGCGAAGGTGGCGGCGAGAGAAAAGGAAACTATTGGACTCTTGACCCGACTTGCGAGGATATGTTCGAAAAGGGAAACTACAGGCGCCGACGTAGAATGAAACGGCCAAACCGTCAACTAGCACTTCAGCCTGATAATGGCTTAATTTCAACCTATCCAAGAGGAACTCCGTATAACTTCATACAACCCAAATGGTCTCCGTACAATCAAGTACAGTCGGCCGTAGTAGCAGCGGCGGGAGGTTTACGCACGGCTCAAGCTACAGGACCTCTTGGGTATCCCTGCAATACTGCATCGGCTAGAGTTCCTCCAGGTTATCCGTATATGAACATGGGGACGAGTGTACCAGTCAGTACATACACTGGAACTCAGTATACTTCTCAAATTCAGACTCCAGTTAATAACCAATGTGGGTATCCATCGGTGGGAATGGCCAACGTAGGATATCACGCCAGACAGGACCGCACAACGATGCATCATTGTTCACCAGCATTCTGGAGTCCACCAGAAAAACATCAAGCGTACGATGTTCCACCTCGATCGTGAAGACTTGTCAGTGAATCAATGTAGTGGTTGTCACGCCAACATGTTATTTATGTCATTTTACCACTGGTATCAGCATAGAGGACCCTTGAGATATCAACTCGATGCAGGCTAGTAAATTTGCAATACTATGGACACAAATTCTGCATGGTTTTCTGAAACTTTAAAAATATTTTCATTTCGATTCCAAGGCTTTATTTTTCACAACGTATAGCATAGTTCGTTGACTTTTCCAAAATTGTACTTGAATTTTATAGCTATTATTATCAAAGCATATATAGTGTTGAATAGATATAATTTCACACCTTATTAGATATGATATAAACTAGAAAGGTGCGAAGATATAGTGTCAAAGCGTTATTTACAGTACACTGGAGGCGTTAAACGCCAATCTACAGTCATTAGATTATACATCGCTTCGTGTGACTTCACTAGTATAAGACTACAGTATTGTATTCGRCTATGCAACCTAGTTGTTATGCTCTTATAGATCTTGTTTTATATTTATAATTAACTCATTTGATTCGAACAGATTTCTTTCCTCCAGTCGTACAATACTTCGTTGTGTTTTTGAGTCAAATTTGAGGAAGGTGCATATAAAATATATATAGATTTTATTCTTATTCAATGGAGTGAAACACAGTTTTCTATTCCTATAGAAAGAAGAAAAGAGAAAAAAACAAACAAACAATAAACACTATGAACACAATTGAGCGTGTCGTTTATTATTATATTATAATCTCAGCCTTCCATCTTTCAGATCAGTTCGTTCAAGAACTGCTAATAAATGTAAACACGATATTGCTATTGCCGACTGAATTCACGGAGCTGAACTCGCTTGTTCGCCTGCAGCTAAAAAGCTGTGTATTCAGTAGCCTTTGTTGCTCTAAAAGTTTTGTATTTTGCAAGATAATGTCTTCAGTCTAAAGTCTCAGCTTCAATGGTTTTACTAAAAGGAGTTACAAGAAGACAATGTGCAGTCTGCAGTAGTAGCATGCTAGTGGAAGATTCCATAGTTCCACTGTAGTTGTTTCTAAAGCCACGAGGATTAACCAGCCGAMAAATCTGTAATTATCATACCTATTTTCCCGCTAACAGTGTCCTTGATCCCAACAAGTATTATATGTTTGGGTTACTAGATCGCACAAGGGCTCTACATTCAAATAAATTCGACTGATTTGATTTTCTAACTGTTGGTATCGGAACACAGTGGCATTGAATTAAGCATCTTGAAAATTGATTGCTTAAGGTGATCCTTTAAATGGAGACGATTAGAACTAAGGAGTAGCTTTTGCCTCTACTCTTAATCTAGATAGCTAGACTCCATTAAGCAATTCAACTACATCGACTAGCGCCAAAATTAGCACTTTGTTTCAATATCTTCCTGGCCAAAGCTTTATAGTATACGACGACGTAAGAGAGAATTGACATTCCAATGCACACATAGTGTAGTGGACTCGAGCTTGCACTGTAATACGCATAGATTCACTGCTTTTGAAATAACAAGCGCGCGTTGCACTTAGTCGGTACGGACAAAGGCTTCGGACATTTTTTTTCTTACGTTCAATTCACTCATATATCCTGGGGCATTTCGCACTGATAAGAGGGAAGCTTATTGCACAAATTAAACAAAAAAGACACGTGTTTTGAAGCACTGGATTTCCCAGCAACCGATCTGCGGCAGAATCTCTACGATATGCTTACAAAATTGACCGAGGCAATCATACCAAAGAGTAGGTTTACTTGGTCACTTTCTGTAGTGTATCTTAGAGATGAAAATGTGTGAAGACTGGACTTAAATAGTAAGACACACAGACTCATGACATAGGCAGCTGCGACGCACGATTTATTTCACTGAATAAGTGACACTACAAGTGAATTTCCATCCTTAAATTCACACCAGTGAAGATACCAAGTTTTAGTGATCATGCCATGTCGGGTCATTCAGACACTTTGGATCAACGCGAGTTATGAATAAGAAGTAGTCGGATTTAATGATCCACGGAAAGCGTTCACCCTCTAGAGATATCAATCGCTTTTTCACCCGACCGCGGATTTAAATAATGAAATATCGAGCAAGGCTGAAGTGCTATATAGGTATATATAGACGGGTAGTTTTATGTACTCATGTCAGCCATGGACCTTCTTTTGTTTCTTATTATCAATATTTAAAAAAAATCCTTAGGACGTAACATATACCCTTTATTGAATTCATCCCATAAAGTGCATTTGAAAAGCCCTCCAAGTTAGTACAGGGGGCAGTTTAGTTGAAGTCCATTCCCGACCATTTTTTTCAAAGTTAATGTAATTAGCAATTACGATGTGTTTAATTTTCGAAAGCCTATTTCCGCACTGTTGATCGAAGGTTGTTGAGTTCCGGCTTCGATTCGTTGGCAAAATTCAATGTCTCTACCACCTAGGTCCACCTCAGAAAGAATTCAAAAGGAACAYAACAATGAAGACCCCCAACTGAATTATGCTGACCGCAGGTTGATCRGCGTAATTTGGTCCCCAAACAATCCCACTTCATGACCAAGCTTAAAGTTTTTTTTTCGCGCAAGTGTAAAGTGTGGCAGTGGGTTTTATGTTTATTGGTATAATCAATAAATTACATTGTAGCGAATGTTGACTGTATTTCGTGTCTGTTTACATTTCATGGGGTTTAAGGTCCATAAGGACTGCTGACTAGCCATGAAGCCGTCTGTCAGACAAGTCCTCAAAGATTATCATGTATACAAGCGCCATGATCCAAGCTTACGTTTGATTTGCAAAGCCTTAATGAATGCTAAACTATATGTAACACATCTACCCTTCACGCATACCCGTTGAGTTGGACATATCTCAACTGCAGGTCGCGGCAATACATCTGAATGTGTGTATGGATCGCACACCACATTCTTTTGGAAACTGGGCCCCAAAATTCCGTGCACGAAGAACTCGAAAACTCTCGACTGCTGTCAGCTGGGCGACCTAGATTCAAGATGAAATCTAGAGACATGGGTTAATGTGGATCAAAAGCAGACAACCTTGGTTTATAAGAATGAAGGTACAAGTTAATGGATCAAGTATCTCGGATTTAAGCTTGTCAAATCGGCAGTAAGACTCGGCGGTGTAGCAATTCCGAGGTAGGTGCAATCACACACTGTAAAAGGGAGATTGCGTTCGAAGAGATGAATTTCTTCATCTGCTGTGGAGAAGCTTGTGTGTTTTCGGTGGTGCGAGGCAAGATATGAGTGTTATGGAAATTGCGTTGTATAAGAACGTGGCTGATAAGTCCATGGCATAGTTGGTATGTTACTGAAGGCCAGCTGGGAGCATATCAAACCARCTAAATTACACCAGATTAATATCAAATAGTAAAAACCACCATTTGAACAATGGTGCTGATCGTATTACACCTTGTAGAGATATAGACTATATCAAGAACAACCGTATTATTTCCCTCATTGGAGCCCGTCAATGCACCAACACAATCAACATCAAAATAACAGTCCATTATCTGAAAGTAGAACTATTTGTCGTTTTATATTTTTATTTCTTTCCCTAATTGTAGATGAAAACATAGATGTAAAAATCGCGTGAAGTCAGTACTGTTTGAAGAGGCACAGACAATGTAAGAATCGTGCGAGCATGTCTGAGGTATCGGCACATGAAGTTTACGGCCACCAGCACAATAGCTACATTCCTACTCTGTCGTATAACTGTATTGCTATCGTACTTAGACAGTTTGTGGTCAAAGTATGTTGTGAAATACATTGCTGTTTGTTTTTGTGAAAGATTTGGTAAATAAAGTCAGCCTTGACAAAGATGTATACTTCATTTTATTGTAGATTTTAGTAAATTGGATTAGGAATGGTATATAGCTTCGATAATTTAAAACAAAAATGCATCCTTCTCAGTTCTCGAAGTTATCTCCAAACCAAGGTCTGATTATTTGTTTTTCTTCGTCGTCGCTCCATTTTGATAATAAAGTGACTATTGTGATGTTGGAATTACAGTCAAAGTGATAAAATGATCCCATGTGGTTTGGAGAGTAAATATTGGTGATCATACCCAGAACTGTAACCAGAGAGACAAAAAAGTATTTCCCGCAAGCTCAGATTTTCATTTCCATCGGCCATTCGTAAAAATTTTATACATTTTGGCGCCAATTGCAGTATTTCTGGAACAGGTATTTTGCGGTGACCATGGATGATTTGCAACTAGATGGAAAGCTCAACGGAACGCTTTGTCTATCTTTAATCTTAAAAAGCCATCAGTGAAAACACATTTAGAGCGAAACCACTACATCCCCAATTCATGTCCATTTGGCCGAAGTTAAAAAAACGAACCTCGGTTATAAAATTAGTACAAAAATTAAAACAATTTTTATTCTCAGTCCAGAAACGTAAATCCCAGCGTGGTAAATCAGTTGTCCTGGKTTCACCTGGAATTTYGCAATCATGTCAATCTCCATTCATGTTGGAGTAGTATCTCATGCACCAAGTGAGCCTGTATCGTCACTTGGAAGGGTTATATATGTGAACGTTGTCTGTGAGACAATGTCTGTGTACATAACTAAATAACGAAAAATACAAGCAAACAAAATGGAACTACTTAATGACTGAGTGGCTTGTTTTATCTCTTGGAACTAAATAATATTTTAACTGAACTTTTTGCTGGATGTTCGGTGTAAAAGTACGCAAGGCCTAAGACGGGTGTATGTTTTTTTATTATATTTTTTTGAAAAAAAAAAAAAAATGCAGGGGTGAGTTAATCCACAAGAATTGTATGCTGTGATCGCAATAGACTCCGATTCAGAATGATCATGGGCTAGTGAAGGCACCATGGAAAGCATCAACAAAAACCTTTGGATGTATATGTGTTTATATTAACAACAATGGAGCCCTTTGAAAACTATAGTATTACATAACTTAACCAAAATAATATCCCAAAAGCGCTTAATTCTTCGAGAATTCTATTTGAGCAAACATATACTATCTCCGCGCAAGCAAAGAAGGAATTTGTCCACCTCAGAGGAACATTTTCTTTTATGTCATTGATATTTCTAGAATCTTATAGTGAAAAGTAATTTCAGTGTGCGCAGCGGGGATTTTTCAATTCTCTCTCATTAGACAGTGAATAATATAGGCGGGCGAACAATGAAGTTTACCGCCAGAATTCTAAACAACACTCTATATTAGCAAGATTAATGGTTACTCATATATATATATACCCTTTGTACTAAGAAATATACCACGATAAAACAATAAATATGAGTGAAGTTCATTTTCATCTTGGGTTGAAAAGATTAAAAATCTCGCACACTGTACATGGTCTTAGAAAAATAAAGTGTGGGATGAAACTTCGTAGCCATTCCCAGGATATACCCTTTAGATTTTGAATATAACCGAAGTTCAACTTGGAAAAAATAAAGATAGCTTAAACTGTATTCGATTGTAATTAGGAGTAAATTGTGCTTCTTCATCGCTACAAGATGAAAATTGAATTAATCAGATGCATCATATTTTAGACTGTATTTCAAGTGGAGTGGCCATGTTCATGGTGGATTTGACAGGACTTGAAGTGTCCTGGAAGCCCAAGTCTTTATTTCGTCTTTATGAGAATTTATTTATTTTTTTGAACCATTGTGTTGTCTGGGAGAATTTAACATAAGTCAAAACATGACTGTCAAACCCGGCCAGCGGGTTTGGGATCTCCCGAAAAGAGTGGCACAACTTCTTTCCAACCTCTTTGGGCTTATTTTCCAAGGAATAGTGTGTGTGCTATAGTACGGCCGTTCGTTTTTAGATTCAGTTCCTCAAACGAGTTATCCTATTTTTAATAATGTAAATGGTATTGAAAAATTTAAAAACTAATTAGCTATGATGAAAATTAGGAAGATTGCTATGTTCCAAATGATCTTCCATAGGAAACTCAGCAATAGTTGACCCTTCTGGAATTTTGGCCAAGGTGTGTGGCCGTTTGATGAGAAAACATGATTCAAATGCCTTTCTAGGTTTTGTTGTGAATTAGCTATTTTGTTCCTCTCAATAGGGGGATGTACKCTATTCACGAAGCCATGAGATACCAAATGACTGCCGTAATGCCGATGTCAGAATCAAAACTTGCATTGGCCAACGAACGACAATTAATGAAGAAATCACAGTTTTTAAGTGATCCTCCACTACTCACTCCAAAGTGGCACTTTGAATGAAAAGTATACCAAAACATCCCACGAATAAACTATCATCAAACGTAAAATTAAAATCAGTTCTAAATGAAGTACTGATGAATGTGATGGGCTAAAGCACCAGGGAAATTTTCTTTGGAAATGCTGAGTTACTCCTCTCAGATGCACKTGCATTATCCCGATACATTTCAGGCTACTATACCTGACTAAACCTAACTGCAATACTTTAATAATGCTACCAAAAAACTATATTTAGTATATGAATACGAATGTAGTTATTTGCATGAACTCAGAATACCGTTATAATTTTCCATGGGCGGCATTTCTGCCCTCATTAAAATAATTGTAAACTTGATCTTTAAAATGAGATATCTAATTTTCCCTCTAGTTTCCCCATGTTTCATAGAAAGTTCCACAATATATTGGAGAATTCCAGTTTATTCCGGCAAAGTGTTATTAATAGATCGGATCAGAACGACTGAGTATCTCGATGGGATACCGGAGAAGCCTTGAAGCTTGAACGACCGAAGTCAGTTTKAAAAGGAGAGGGGGACTGTTATTAATTTTGTTTTCGAAGTGAATCGAGAAAACCCTTTAAAACCTGTTTAAATTTATAACAAACGAAAATTGGACTGGATTAGAATTCATCACAAACACGAAACTGCTCTGATGAGTCTTGAACTGGGGAGGTGGGCGTTGTAAGGAAGTAGATTTCTATCGCTCATTTGATTCATTGTGAAGCTAACAACCTTCAATGGGTTTTGAACACTTTGTGTTGCCGATTTCTACGTAGGCAACGCCTCTGGGGTTGACCGACAAATTTAAATTAACCATCTAAAGCAAACGATTCATTCAAGAAGATAATACTAAGCTCAAAGATGTGGGCCCAGAGGGTATACCATAACCATCAATTGACAAAAATAACCGAAATATTGCGTTGAAACTCAGTGGSTTTTGACAAAGGAACAGATCAAAACACGCTATTATACCATATTACATTTAAATACAGTAGACTCTCCCGTGTCATGGATTGGGGTCAGATATGTTTATATACATCAGGMAAATCTTTTGTAATACGGTAGAAACTTCTGAKATTTTAGGTGAGTGTGGAGAAGGTGATATCAAAGGGTGGATGACCACTGTTATACGCTCCATAAGCCATAGTCAGTATGGTATAGACTCGGTTAAATCGCCCTATGAGTGTCAGAGAGATGGGCAACCAAAATAAATCTCTCTGTCGGTAATACAAAATATTGATAGCCTGAACGATACGTAAGTGCCTTCAAAAGTGGCACAGATTGCTGCATTTCGTGCTCCATGAATTAAAATACAAACAGAGTATTGAACTTGGAGTATGCGACATACTTTAAAGCATGACGGCGCAAATACAGTACCTCCCAGCAAGTGGGAGAATACTCAATAGCTAAGGCAAAAAAGTAAAAATTAAGTTGAAAAAAAAACAAGGAAACTTTTCTGGGAAAAAAACAAAGGTTAACATCAAAATCTCTTTTTACTATAAGCTTAGCCATGTAAACGTGCGAACGTGAGACGCGTAATAATGCGACGCATTATATCAATTGTAATAGAAGAGCGCCAAGATCCAGGAAATAAATCGAGGAAAGAATATTTTAGAGCCTTATGGTAAAAAAGGAAAAAGATTGACCGCAAAGTGAAGCATACTTAAGGTGCGAACCACCAAAGAAGAAGCCGTAAAAACACTGAGTGTATTKTCAGTTAATATAGTAAAAGGGCTTCCTGATGTAGAAAATAGAGTTGGGCGAGGAATATTATAGAGATATAAAGGGAAACTTTATGRGAAAAGCGAGAGGAGCAACCGCAGCTACARCGGACTGTAAAACTAGTCTGCCGCGCAATGTGCGGATMATYACAAAAGCCAAGACACAATATCTTGTCACACAAAACAATACAAACACTTTACTCCCAAGTGGTTTATTGATAAAARCCCTGAATAGTATATTATCTTTACAATTTTACTTAAGATATCCTTCTTTGGAGTTTCTCTGTAGACCATATTTAAGGTTCTTGTCAGTGAGTCACAGTACAATAAGGCTCCACCTGGATGTAATTACGTATTCACTGTTCTCAACTAGCTATTGAGGTCTATCGTGGGAAAATTAAAATCATTACCAAAATGAGAAGTTTTCTCAATCCAAAAGATGTATGACTATTAAACATAATTATGGTGATGGTAATTGAAGGGTTTTTTTGTCAATTCAATTCGGTTGGGAAAGCAAGCTCTTTGGTTWCATCTACTGACTTTGTGAAAAGATATACTGATGATGGCGGTCAGAAGAGTTTAATTACCTTTCTTTATGCCCTGAAGCTATGGTATGGTAATTTATCCATTCTACGAATGAATGCCGAACTCATGTTATTGAGCTATTTGTGTACCTTCTTRGGGAATTAGATTCGGAGGAATTGTATTCCATCTTCTCATCCTCATTGCTCCACAGCCTCTTTCTTTTGTAAACTAACCATCTTTTCAACCTCCACATTCAAACAGTTATCTACAAGTCTTTTTTCTATCGCATTAAGTAAACATCACACCAAATAAATCTATAACAGCAAACAATTCACATAATATAGGTAATAATGAGATCTACGTGGTTATACAG